ATTATCGATTAGCAAAGTACACATTGGTATATTCATGGAATTCTCCCAATAACAATAATAATCTTCTCTTGTGCCTTGACCAAAATGCCAATGCCCATAAATTTTCATTAATCTTTGGTCACCAGTGTTAACATGAGAGATTTATTTCACACGGATGGATTTTTATAGCTTTGATTTTAATGGTACTGTGATGTTTTGGAATATTTTTGTTGCGCAGTGTAAGGTATTGAAAGGATTTATTGGTTGATCTTGATTCATTTTTCTGTATTTTTACGGATTTGTAAATTGCTTTTTGTGAATATCTCTGGAAGAAAAAGGTTTATGGGGAAATGGATTTTTTCAGTCTTCTCTTGATATTTCCATAAATTTGAAGATTATATTTTGTGAATATCTGTTAGCGAAAAAGGTTTTTTTCATCTGCACAAATGGTTTCTCGTTATTTTTCTGTAAACCTGGTAGTTTCGGAAAATATTCTGCACTTGAACTTTTGACTCGTCTATTATCGATTATTGATGACCTCGTTAGTAGTTATGCTGAGAAAAATGCCAGCGAACCTCTCTGCAGGAGAGTTAATGATCCACAAAAAAAGCTCTCTTGATATTTTTCAGTGAAGCTAGTAGATACCGAGATATTTTTAAAAAATGTGTATGAACTCTGCTATAATTGTTTATTCCCGAAGATTACGATATTATTCTCTTAAATATGCAGTGGACATATTCAAATTATCGACATCAGGTAGGAACCTATTAAATTGATTAAAAGATGATCACAATATGGCGAAATATGAAAAATAAACCAAAGGTCAGAGGTGGGTTGGAGACGGTGCTAGAGAGTCAGATCGGCCTTTTTCTCCCTGACCACAGAACTGACCGCACATGCCTCGGTTCATTGTCATAAAACTTGCAAGTATAAAAGTAAACTGAAACAATTGGATACCCAGTATTATTGTGGTTTACGGAGAAGAGCAACTTTGGACTGATAAAATAAAAATATATGTATTTTTATTATTTATATTAATCTCATTTGACTAATCAAAGACATACTTATAATAACTAGTAAAACCACGTGGTGAATGATGAATTTTAATATTCTACGTTTCTATTCTTGAGGCAATAATTTTACAAAATATTGATATTAATTTTTTTTTTTTTTTTTATTCAGGCATGTATGACCTCTCGGCCTTTTACATATAATATTGATATTATAATGTCACATGTTATATTAATGATTTTCAATGTTCTAATTGCGACAACTTTTTTCGGTATATTTCTGTCTTTAATTGACAAGATCCAATTTATTGTCAATATTGTGTTCAAGATTTATTTGTGATGAATAGTTGGCTGGTTGATGCGGCGATTATTTTTGTGCTAATTTTATATACAATAAATTGGATCAAAATTAATATTGAGCTAAATGTTCAACTTTTATTAATAATTAATATTTTTCTTACCTCTGTGGTTATGATGATCCATTTATTTAATATATTGAGATTTTTAGGAGATGAAAATTTTGTGTGAATTGTCGGATTTCAAATCATTCAATTTTCGAAACAAGTAAAAAATCATAAATATTAGTTACCAGTTGGTATTCAAATAAAAAAACCACGAATACTCTTCTAATCCTATCTATGCAATTGTGGTAACCACAAACGTATATTTTAACCACAAATCCCACACGCGTATCCGAAAATTTGTTGGGAATTCATGGACCAAATACCGTTTGCATATAGGAATAACCCGAGGAATATCTCCCTGTGTGAGATATATCTGTTTGTGGGAGCCTCTGAGTTATGGAAGAGTGAGAAGCACTCATGGAAATCCAGGGATGTAGAACTTTTCCAAGCCTCCAAGCATTCATCTCGCATTATTTCGTACTTCTATTTTTTTTTTTCACTCACTTTTTTACCTTTTTGTTCTGTTCTAGTTTTAATGGCGCACCTATTCTCGAACAAACAAGTGAAGAATGAATCGCAAGTTGTACTTTTTGCAATCACACTTGCAGTTCGACACCTTTCAAATGTCTTTTCTTTGATTTCTTTTGTTGCGTGGAATGATCGTTCCATTTTGAAATGTTTGGATTATTGAATACTCCGATAGTTCAGGGGTATCATGTTATTTATAAACTGTTCGACAATAGAAAAGTTATAGGTGTCGGCACTTTTTTCCTTTGGAAAAAATCTTTTGGAAAAAATCTCTCGGAAAAATACTTTTTTTTCAAAACTACTTGTGAAAAATTTTTTTCCGGAAAAAATTATTTGGCAAATTTTTTTTTGGAAATAATTTTCCGGTATTAATTTTTTTGGGAAAAAATAACTTTTTTAGGGAAATAAGAACTTATCCAGTCACATTTGATTGTAATTCTTTCTTTTTTTATTGCGGAAAATAATAATTGTTGATAACTGTAAATATTATAATAGTCAAAAAAATATTAATGCGAACTAAATCTAATTAGCTGCAAAAATTTCCTCAATCCATTAAATTATTTATAATGAAATATTTTGAGCAATGCTTCGCAAATATTTTACAATATCAATACCTCCGTACTTTTCAACAAGTTGATTTTTGATGTAAAAAATGGATTCTATTTTTTTTCTGACATTTTTTCCAAGGAAGTAAAAAAAAGGAATTAAATTCCGGGAAAAAAATTTTCCCAAGTAATTTTTTACGAAATAAAAAATTCCCAAGTAATTTTTTCCGGAAAAAAATAATTCCGGGAATCTTTTTCCGGAAGTTTTTTTCCTTAGGGAATAAGTGCGGGAACCAAGTCATAAAATTAGAATTATCGAGTAGGGGAAAAGAATCGTTTGCGCGAGATTCTGAATACTGAAACTTCGCTAGGAGTGGATTTAGGGAGAAAGAATCAGGAGACATTTTCTGTAGTTGATGAAATTTGCAACTAAATATGTGCTTTGATATTTTCCCTTAATAACCTCTCACTATCGAGATAAAAGTGAAATTAACGAACATTTCAAATTTGAGGGGAGACCGCACTGACATTTCAAAATAGTAGATTATGTGGTAAGGTCGATAGGCCGAGGTTTGTAAGTCGTGTGAAGTTTGCAGCGCGAGGCGTCGGTAAGTCGGAGACAAGGTTCGCCGAAGACGAGAGTCTCGAACGTACTATTCTGATGAGTGTGAGGGTTGCAGACCGAGGCGAATCCGAGGAATCCAATCACATGAATCAGAAAAGTTGTTTTCGGTCGAATGGCGAACATAACTTTTCATCACGCTGTGACGAAAAGTGAACTTTTCGGCACGCTCCGCGTGCCTAAAAGTCCAATTTCCGCCACATTGTGATGAAAAATATTGTTCGTAACTCGTGAAAAAATGTTTTTTAGCTCGTGGGATTATATCACTCGCCTTCGGCTCGTGATATAAACCTTCCAATCGCCAAAAAACACTTTTTTGCTTTTAGCTCGTGGTATACTATTTCATCACGCTGTGACGAAAAGTGAACTTTTCGGCACGCTCCGCGTGCCTAAAAGTCCAATTTCCGCCACATTGTGATGAAAAATATTGTTCGTAACTCGTGAAAAAATGTTTTTTAGCTCGTGGGATTATATCACTCGCCTTCGGCTCGTGATATAAACCTCCCACTCGCCAAAAAACACTTTTTTGCACTCGTTACGAAATATACTATTTCTTCACAATGCCCCCATAAACGGCGTTTGACAATCACGAAGTGTCCGTAAAAGGACACTTTACGGACAGTGTAATGAAGTAGTACATTACATGCCTGAGCCTTGGAAAATAGATTAAAAAAAAAAAAAATCTTTTTCCCTTAAAATCTCTCGCTCTTGAGATGCAATAATTAGTCATAATTAACCCAAAGTTGATAAACGATTTCATAATTTTTGTGAATCATTCAACTGTTCCTTCATTCTTTTAACTTCATTTATATCCAAGACATACATCGCACATACATCCCTTACATGCTTACATCCGTTTATTTTTAATCATTGTCGTCACAGTTCTGTTTTTAATTACTTTCCGGAAGAAGGTTAACTCATTGAAAATAAAACTCATCAATTACCCTTTAACTTCTCAAGTTTTTTTCCTACATTAATGGGGTCTGTAGCGCCGGAAATACTTCAAAGAGTATGTTACATTATTTGCGGTGCCCTCTAACTGACTTATACCTGAAGATCAGGAGATTGTGTGGTCGTCGGGGATATTATTCTGGCAGACAACTGGATACTCACGATCTCTCCAACACTTACCCGAGTAGACACAGTCGTACCTCACTGTTGAGAATTGAAATACTCGTGGAAATCTTTACCAGTGCGATGTATTTCAACGTAATTAAAGTCATCTCAATTAGTATGGATCTCACTCTTACGTCAGGCATGTTAAATTTACGGTGTAATTAATATCACTTGGCTGAGCCAACCCAATTTTGAATCAATTTATTATTACATTACCAATAATCGATGAAATTTTTCATTACATTATTAATCAATAATCGCCATTGAAGATGGGCAATTACGGAGATAATATTTAACTATTGAAAAAATATATAATTTTTTTATTAATGATCCATTCAAATGAGGTTTTCCATCTTTAAAAATAATTAATGATCAATCTCCAACTTCAAATTTCTATTACATTTTTTATTTTCATATCTCAATGAAGATTAACAAACAGCAGTTATTTGTGTAATTTTATCAGAACATATTTGTTCTACAGTAATGATTAATCCTGATCCCTCTTAATGTGTAATCTCGTAGCTGGACGGGGGAGGTGATGGCTGATTGTTAACAGAATCTTAGATTTATCAGGTGAAATAGATGAGAAAATTCATCAAGCAAATTGTTTCATTCTGCTTTTCAAATGAGTCGCATTAAATTCCTTCAACAATGAGAATAAATTTTCTTTTGCTTTCTTGTCCAATCAGTGAAGTGCTCTCTTTTCCGGCATAACACGAATAATAAACGTCAGTAACTCATTAAATATCATTTCCCTCAGGTGTTGGTGTAATAAAATTGGGGGGAAATAGTGAGCATGTTCGGGGATCTCGTAAATATGTTGTTATTGTTTTGGGAATGTGGTTGGAATGGGTGGCTTTAGGGGGAATATAACGAGATCTTTTTTTGTTGGGGATTTCAGGATCTAGAAAAAAGGTCCTTATTTTTTTTACTCTCAACTCACTAGCTTTGGAGATATTGCCCGAATAATCATGAATTTCTTTCGATTTGTAAGACATTTGGTGTCAATTATTTTGGAAATCTCTTGAGAATTCATGGGATCAAAAAAACCATTGGAATACCTTTTCTTTTTGGAAATGTCATGATTCACAAGAAAAAATTTCCTTGACGTTTTTCTCTGCACTAACAGGTTGAGATCTTTGAAAATAGTTCTTCAATTCCTAATTGAATACAAAATTCATCAAAAAATTGATATAAATTCCTGAGTTGTATGACTAATTAACTTCTGTGATTCCTTTCGAAAAATTTTTCTCACATTTTCCATCAAATTTACAACTTTCAAAGGTATTCACAAAGTAATTTGCGAATTCTCTTCCACTTCTCTGGTTGAATCAATGTGTTCAACGGAAATTCAAACTGTTTGTGAATTCTCCGAATGTACATGGTAGTAACACTGATTTCAGGGGCTTGAAGCGACATTGAGTGACAGCAAAAAGAAGTACGGCGACAAGGTGAATGCACTCCTGTCTGCCTGGACGCAAGTCACCAATTACATTCCTACCGCAAGCCCGGAAGACACCCAGAATCTAATAGAATGGGTCCACAAGTGAGTAAAAACATTATTTGTTCTTTTTACTTTCGAATTAGCTCTGCATTTGTCCAAATTTAAGTGTTCAATGTTTCCTGTTGGAATAACTAAATATGGTCTAAGAAGTCCGGAATTGAACTCTTAGATTCTATCCGTTTTCCATTTTCCTTTTTAAACTCCGCGCTTACGGATTCATCAATTTCTATCATTTTTTTCCCCCATGTATGTTGCATCGCATTAACTATACTCCTGTGTTACAAAGAATTTCACTCAAGTTATTCTAAAGTTTGGTTTATTGTTGCTTTAAAATAAAAAATGATTTTTAATGGATTTAATTCACTCGGATCTCAATCCCAGTTTCAGCTCGATCAAAATTCGACTGTTATCACTGCAGCCACAAGATCTCCATTATTTATGAATATTTTCTTCAATTATTGTTTTTGAGACCGAACAATAACGCCATAGTACTTCTAATTTCATGAGAAAAATAATTTGTAACAGGAATGATTTATTTAGTCAATTTTATTTTTCTTTTCAACTGAGTTGTCCATTTCATAGGCTAAACATCCTTCAATATTTATTTCATGCGTTGATTGGATTAATTGTGCAAGCAATAGAGTTATTTATACAATTATTTTACTCTCATTAAAGACACATGAAGCTTCTAGTGGCAATAATTGTGACATTAACGGTAATTTGCCCTAGTCAAAGTTCAGTGGGAGTTAATCAAGATTTCGTCGAGGTTGGATAGAGTTTCATTAGGGTTTTCCGGAAGTCGTCTGATTTTGTTTCAAAATACCTAATCGTAATCTAAAAAGACCAACAGGGCAATTTATATATCTTATTAGGGAAACAATTTCGTTCGAAAGGAAATTGCTAATTTGTTAGCAAAAAGAAATATATTAAACGGAAAAAAACAATTACCCACTTGTTTCTTTTGTTGACCTGTGATTATTTTTTTCGTTTCGAAAGAAAGGAGAGAAGTGGTACAGGCAGTGGTACAGATTTATTTAGTCAATTTTATTTTTATTTTCAACTGAGTTGTCCATTTCATAGGCTAAACATCCTTCAATATTTATTTCATGCGTTGATTGGATTAATTGTGCAAGCAATAGAGTTATTTATACAATTATTTTACTCTCATTAAAGACACATGAAGCTTCTAGTGGCAATAATTGTGACATTAACGGTAATTTGCCCTAGTCAAAGTTCAGTGGGAGTTAATCAAGATTCCGTCGAGGTTGGATAGAGTTTCATTAGGGTTTTCCGGAAGTCGTCTGATTTTGTTTCAAAATACCTAATCGTAATCTAAAAAGACCAACAGGGCAATTTATATATCTTATTAGGGAAACAATTTCGTTCGAAAGGAAATTGCTAATTTGTTAGCAAAAAGAAATATATTAAACGGAAAAAAACAATTACCCACTTGTTTCTTTTGTTGACCTGTGATTATTTTTTTCGTTTCGAAAGAAAGGAGAGAAGTGGTACAGGCAAGTTGCTTTGCGTTGGTGAAATTGGTTGAAGCCTAAAGAGACAAAGGGTGGAGAGGAAAAAGGAATGAAAGATTGAATTATCGTTCTAGTTGATATGCTAATTCCATGAATCCAATTAAATTATGCAAAAAGCCGCATCTAGTGCTCCATTCAGGCTTACTGCGTAGCATCCGGGAAATAAGAATCCATATAAATCCTTGGGTGTTGTTTTTTTTTCTATTTTTGAATAGGCTCTTTATACTTTCTATTTTCTTTGAATTTCGAATTTTCCATTTCTTTTTACTTTGGAAGCTCTACAGTCGTATTCAAAACTAATTAGGTTTTCATTATTATCATTTCTATTGTTCTCAATCTTTTTTCATTGTGTGGAGTTGACGGAAATTAGTGGTCTAGAAGCAGTTTGTAAATACTTTTGTGTAGGAACATCTTTATTATATTAAGGAAATAACGTGTAGGTTTCTTCACAATGAGTGTAGATGAGGTTCATTCCTTTTGTTATTTTAAATTTCGAGTCTTCGGTCGAAGAGAAATAAAAATAATATTTGAAACTTCAGGGAAAATAGTCTCTTCCTGTTATTTTGTGGAAATTTTTCAGAGGAAACATTTAGATTATGGGCGTTCATTTCACTCCTAATTTATTCAAAAAAAACTCGTGGTTCGGTATTCTTGAAAGATTATTATTGTTGAAATGCTTTTTTTCGGGTCCAGTTAATCAAAAAAAATTTGTTGAGAGGACTTTCTCTATGCATGCATTCCAATCCTACAACTGTTTTCATGTATGAAGTTCTATTAATATCTCTGATTTTTTCTTGTTATTTCAAAGTGGATCGAAAGCTATTTTTGAAACCCCAGTGAGAATTCTCGCGCCATGAAAATTCGATGTGGGATTTTTCTCTGTAGATAAAAACTCTAATATTAGTGCCTCATATTTTAAACTTGTAGCTTGCATTAACTCCCAGATTGAAGTAGTAGTATTCACTCAGAGTTGAATATAACTTTCGGTAGAACTCTTTTTGTGAGAATAAATTTGAAATTCCGACATTTCCATCTTCGAGAATTCAGTTCCATTTCTGTGAAATCACTGAAAGCATTTGGTCGCCATAAAAAATTATATTTGGGCCCTCAGAAAAATACTCTGTTTGGGACAAATTTTAATGACGCCTGCTCATATTTCCAGACTTGATCTTCCTATTTTAATTTCATCATACATTTCGTTTTTAATCAATTTAAAATCATTGATGAGTGAAAGATCGAAAAAGTGTTAAAGTGAATGTTGATGAGTGAAAGAAATTGATCCGTTAAAATTCCGACTTAATCCCTCCCCAAAAACTGTACTTCCCTCTCGAAAATAATGAACTGTAATATTCAAAATCCAGCAGAGATATTCAAACAGACGACAAACTTTTACATGAGAATATTTCCACCTGAGTATCAAATCCTGCCACAACTTCTCATCCTCTTCAATTACTAAAAACAAGTAGGATTTTCATAGGTATTGTTCTCAAATTTGTACCTCACCGTTGAAGTTCACAAAATGTAACCACGAGAACCCAGCAGACATGCACAAAAAATATACTAACAATAAACAGTACTGTAAAGCAAACAAGTAGTAACAAATATATGAATATGCACATTGATTTATTTGGAAAAAATGGAGCAAAATAAAACATTTGCTCTATCAATTTTTCGCGAATTAACGTTTTTTTCAACGTTTATTTTTCCCCACAAAATTGATCCAACGAGTTTCTCCAAAAATGTTATGTGGAACTGCTATCATACATTCTAAACCCCTTTTTTTATTTTATATTTCCAGACACACCCTGGATCTTGTACTACGTGGGGAGTGGCCAAAATTGACACAAGCAACAAAGACTCACCTAGGCGTAACTCTGCAGAGGTGTGCAAATCATCTTGCTCAACACCCTGCAGCAGCAATATGTACATCCCTGATATCATTCGTACACAATCCATGGTCAAATCCAGTATTAGTGAAAATAATTAGTCGTACATCGGACGAGGACAAGAATTGCGATGTCGAGGATGAGGAGGAATTTTGTTGTTCGGAAAAGGGTGAATTATTAGTAATGAGACTTAGAATATTGTGTGAGGAGCGGTGTGAGGACATAGCAATACATCTTGCTGCTGCTTGCGTTCGCACCTTGAGAAGAAGCGAACGTTTGCAGGCGTTATCGGATACTCAGCACGTTCAGTACATGATTGATCTATACATTGTTATACTGTACAAACTAAAACGCACTAAAGATATACTCGCTCAAGTAAGTTGCAATTTTTACGTAATTATTGTTATTTGCATTTAATAATAGAGTTGTAAAATCAGATCAGATATAGAGTGAAAAACTTTGGAAGGAAGATGTTTAGAGAAAAATGCCAAAAGATAATTTCTTTCTTGAGAATTTGATTTTTTATACATTTTCCATTCGATTAACTGGCTTTAGAGAAATTTTCAGAATAGTTTATATAGATTTGTCCGCATATTTGAAATCAATTAGCTATTGTAAATATTTTCGAATAGATTGCATTCAGCAAACCTTTCCAAAACATTTCCTTTAGACAATTTTGCAATCTCGAGAAAAATTATCTGACGTTTTTCTCTTATAAACGTAATAGTTATAGCGATTATAAAACTTTAACTGAAATTGCAGATTTTGTTGAAAATATCGGTAAATTTAATTTCGGCTTATTTTGCTATTTATTTTCTGAAAGACAGAGATTCTGTGGAATTACAACATTCACGAGTTCATCTCTTGTTTTTCCATAATTTTACAATAGAATTATTCAAAAATTTGAATTTAACAATGAAAATGTTTCTATGAAAATTCGCAGTTAAAATTAATGGACTTCAATGATGGACTGGGGATACTCCAGAGATTAAGCGGTGAGAAACCCACAAAGTACAGAACTGCGCGTATTTGGAGACTATCGCCTAGAGCAGCCGAAGTTGTTGCACAGTATTTGGCAACAGCGGGCATGGTGGGATCCATTTCTGATATTGGGGGTAATGTACTGGAGGAGATTTTCAACTCATGGGCTAAATTGTATTCCAAAAACTCAATACAGTCAACACTGCCGGAGATGATCAGAAAATTAATCGAGCCAGCTGAGAGTGCCCAGCACATCTACCTATTCTGTGCTGTGCTCTTGAAGCATGTGAGTATGATTTTTAATTAAAACAAATTTTCAACATGAAAATTAGTGACGAATTGTCAAAAGACGGAATGTTCAAGATTGATTCTCGAATTCTATTCTGTGAGAAAATATCGAGAGAACTTTTCTTCATATTTTTTCAAATCCATTAGTTTCAGAGATGTTGGTAGAATAATGATCTAATGAATGTAGATTTCGTGGTTAATTTGATATTTCATCGTTTGTGAATTTTACAAATATTTTGGGAGTGAGTGGTTCTATCGAAACATATACAAATACATTTTTGTACTGAATATAATGTTACAAAGAAATTGCATTTCCTTTAGAGATATTGACAGAATAGTGATGCAATAGGTGAAGATTATAATACATGTACACAATTCATTATTTCATCATTCATCAATTCTCATGGTCTTTCGATGATGAGTCGTCCTAAGAAAAAACCTCAAGAGCCATTTCAAAATTTCTCCTCCTCCAGGCCATTTTTCGGTCAAGAGCCATTGCTTGTAAATTTTTTTCTGTATGAAGAGCCTCGAAAATTCTTCTCCAAATTCAGAAATATTTGCGAAATTTCGCACTTGACTTACAACAAAACAGTTATTAATTGTTTAAATAACTGGCTAGTGAGTAGTTCCAGAGAAAAAAAAATCAAAGATCTTTTTGTAAAGAATTTAATTCACCAGTGGTCAAATTAGTAATAGATGAAGATTATTTACTTGATCCATAATTTTATCATTTATGAATTCTCAAATTATCTCGATAATAAGTGCTCCTAGTGAAAAATGTTAAAGACAGTTATTACAGAAAATTTTACTCCCCTGTGAAAAGATTTTTTGCCATTTTCCTCATTTCCATAAATGTTCTAATGAATGAAGATTACGACCTTGAGTAATAACTCCATCATTTACAAATTTTCAAATATTTCAATAATAAGTGCTTGTAAAAAAAATATCGAAAAACATTGTCTATAGAATATTGAATTGCCTACAAAAATTATTCTCTTGATTTCTTCAAACCCCTTAGTTTTCGAAATGATTGCAAAATTATGATCTAATTGATAACGATTTTGTACTTAACTCAAAATTACGACTCACAAATTGTTTTCTAATCGCCCATCATTACTCCTCCCCCAAAAATCCTCTCTAAATTAATCCCCAAACTTCCCAGATAACCCCCAACTCACCTTCCACAGTTCATCATTAGATTAATAATCCCGGAGCGAGCCCTCTCACTAATGCCGGAAATTATTAATTTACAGTTTGGCGATAGTATAAAGCCCGTGGTAATTGAATCCTACATCAGAGCACTGACAACCGACATGAATGAAATGGAAAATCAAAAGGCCAAATCCGACAAAGAACACGAGCGTGAAATAGCTAAACGTCTGAGTACCCAGTTTCTCAAATTGGCCGATGTTGTTGAAAGTAGTATTGACATTGCTAAGGAGTGTGTATTGACAGCATTCTCATTACATCCAACTCGTGCCTGTTATGATAGAATACGTGAGATTGCTGTGGCGTGTGGTAAAATGAAGGAGAATGGTTGTACAACTGATGTAACTGTTGATGACAGATTGTCAAGCAGCCTTGGGGATGCAAAAATCGATGCTGGAAGGGCAGATGGAAGCTCCAAAACCCCTAATGACAAAGTAAAAACGGTTAAGAACGTTGATTGCAGAGATAAACTGTTGAAAAGTTTGCTATCATCACCATCGAAGAAGGATCCACCTAGTAGCTGTCCTCTCCACCCACGGAGCAACTCCACGACTCAAGGGTCAGTGGGCACTCTCTGTTTCAATTGTGGTGAATTCACAGGCATCGACAACACGAAAAAACCTGTGGAAAAATCCGAATCAAAAGTTTCCCGATCATTGAACAGCACAACAAATTCAACAGTGTCAGAAATGTACGAAGAGAAGAGCCATGCACCAGGTCAAGTGCTGGATGGAGTTAAACTCGGTCTATCTCGTCAGCTCTGTGACGACCTCCAAGTAGTCCTCAATAGCCCCAGATACCACAACCTTAATTGGGCCCTGGATTGGACAGAGCTGAATACCCTCTGTGACACCTATCTCCATCACGCTGAGGAGATAAGAAACACGAACAAGGAGCTAAAATACCTGAACATTGATTACAATCTGTTCAAGAATTGGCCCTCGCCCCAGCCCTCAGATGAGGAGAATGCAATAGGTGTTTATGGGATTGAGAAGGGGTACGAGCCCTGGGTGGATGTGCCATCAGACAACTCAGAGAGGTTTGGATCCTCCCAGCCAGCTGCTGCCTACAAGAGAACAACACCAAGACGAAGTCTGGAAGATTCATCAGACTCGGACAGTGGTAGTTTATTACAAGTGAGGAGAACAGCTAGACAACGTAAATTAAACAGACTTGAGTCATCAGAGAGTGATTACGACAGTGGTGACCGTAAGCCAAAGCATTTTCGTGTGAATTCAGGGTCTGTATCAGATACTGAAGACACTAATACTCAGGACAGTCAGACTGACAGTCTCGGTAGTGATGGTTGCAGACAGGAAAAGAAAACAAATAAATCGTGCAATAAAGATATGACGAAGGAGCGAGGCAAGTCTAAGCACTTTCGTATGTTAGTTAATGAAAATATAAGGCGAATCAATGATGATGTCACTGGATCTGATGTCAGTAATGAACATATTACTCTATTCGCTGCTGACATGGATGAGAACAAAAGGGAGACTATCAAGGGATCAGCATATCCATCTGCACCATTGAGAATACTGACTGAAAAACGAAGTGATCCAGCTGTGCTCAAGTCATTGCGTATGTTCAGACATCAGAACACTAAAGTTGTACAGAAAAATATTTTAAATAACAAAACAAAGGACAATGTAGCGAACAATAACTCGAACAGTGTTGCTAAATTTGCACCGATGCTGAGTACATTAAATTTAAATCCTAAAATTGTGTTAACTAGAGCTGATGAGATCGATCGTAAATTATTGCAATCGAAGAAGCCAACTCTCAGTACTGGTGATTTAACGAGTGAACTCATGAATATTCAAAAGAAGATGACATTCTCACCTCACAAGAACTCGATCAACTCATTTCACAAACGTAAAAGTGATCCAAACAATAAGAATAAAAATCGAAAAAATAGGAAATCAATTAATTCAAGTCTGGGGAATGACTATGGACTCTTGGCAAAAGCAGTGAGGGATTCAGATATCAACACTAGACTTGCTAAAAATGTTCCTGGATTGAACTCCTTGGACATGATGGTGCCCCCAAGGGTGCAGTCTACAGTGAACGTGGTACAACTCTCTCGAAATATACCACAGAGTCCAAACTCAGGGTCAATAAACAGTGGCAACACTCCCCCGAGAAATAGAACGTCAAGCATAGCAGGTAACATTCAACTTCCTGGCACCCCATCGTCTGGGGGTCACGACAGTGGCGTTGGAATGAGTCCTGCTGGTCAAACTCCACCTCCAAGATCCTCAGCACTTCATGATGTTGGTGAAGAGGCTAATCAGCCTCCGGACACATCATCCCCAGGATCAACAAACCCCTCGACTGAGCCTGACAGCCCAAGAACTCAACGAATGAATCAGAACGATTCACCAAATAAATCACCATCCCCCTCGTCAGCAGCCGGAACAGTGCCAACATCAGAACAAATTCAATTAGTTTATAAACAAGATGGAATGTATCAACTGGCATCTGTCAACCCAAACGTTGTTACCAATCAACGAAGTGTTTTGACTCTTCAGAATTTAGAGGAAGGTTCTACTGTTCGTCATGTCCAGAGATTACAGGAGTCCACCACTAGAAATACCTATGAAAGATCTGGAGTCAAGGTACAGCAACAGCAGCCTGGCCAGAACACAGGTCTCCCAAAGTTCCAACATGCCTTTGGAAAAACGATCTACACCTTATCAGCAGAGACCTCGACCACAGCAGCCTCATCCACGACAGACACCATCACCCAACCCCTCAGCCTCCAGAAAACCTCCACCAACCTCTCCAAAGCAGTCCAAACCTCGGTACCAAGTACCCAAGCCAACATCAATGTACAATCAATAACGAACATTCCGAATTTACAATTAACCACTGGCAGACCGATCCTCAATATTGTGCAGAGTGGAAGTGGGAGCGCAGGGGTCACGACTCCAACAGCCACTCAGACGATAACTCAGCTGGTTCAAAATGCTTCACCAGGGGTTATTTATGCTCAAAAGATTCCCACCAATGTCACAATATCAACGACGAATCCTGGACAGTTGAACCTCATTCCCACGATTTCCCATACGAACTCGTTGCCAGGGGGCAGAGCTGGTGTTGTCAAATTGAACATCATCAGGACACCATTGAGACAGCAGAATATAGCCATCCAAGCAGCTTTGACTGGCTCAAGAATCCAGACTAATCAGCAGAGAACCCCAGCCACTCCCCAGCCTCAACAAGCAGTGAGAACAGACTCTCTTCTGAATGAAGTCGCCAATCCAGTGAGTTCAACAACATTAGAACAGTTGAGAGAGTTCGAGAGCGTCTTGGAACAAGTGAAGGAGCGCAGTACGATCCAGCCCCAGCAGCACCAGAACTCGACGACGACAACAACAACAGTGCAAACTCAAACTACAACTCAACAGACTGTAGCTAAGCAGCACGATCAGCAGACATCAGTGTCAGCCCTCGCTCAACAGCTCCTCATCTCCACCCAGTCGTCCTCAAGCTCTGAATTCTCTAGCAACGGTAATGCAGTCTCCTTCCAGCAGGACGTATTCCCTCAGAAGGTATCCCTGGCTACCATCACTCAAAGTAACGTAACAACAACTCAGAAAGTGACAAACTCAACTCCAGTGGTTGTATTCACGAGCTATTGTCAACCAGCTGCATCACCAGCTCTCAGTGTCACCTCTCAAAGTTCCTCAAGCCCCTGTGTCACTCCAGCCCCAGCGTCAGTCCCCTCAGCTGGCAAAACCCCACCCACACCATCTCCAAAGAGTGGCAAGAAGACAGTCCCCAAGACTGTTAAGACCAGTGCGACGAATACATCAAAAGCATCGCCAATTCCCAAACCTCAACAGAAGCCTCAGGAGGACGAGCAGACAGCCCAGAGGATCTACACGATCCTGGCCGAGTACGCCGAGCAACTACGGAATTCTCCTGATCTGAATAACAAGCCAGCTCCCAGAAGACGCTCCAATCCTCCGACAAACCCCAGTCAATCGTCAAAAAGAAAGAAATCCTCGGGTAAATCGAAACTATCTGGTCAGCAGTCCTCGGAGATGAGCCCCAGTGCTGAAGACCTGGGGAGGACAATGGGCTCTGAGGACTCTTCCAGTGGTGTTGTCCAGATCCAGGACTCCCCTGCAGGTTTCACATCGCAGGACGAAGCAGCGACACCAGCAGCATCAGTAGACTCAGCTCCAGAGTCCACTAGAAACATCACAAATGACTCCAACGATGGAGTAGAGGTGAACGTTAAACGAAGGAATCTGTTTTTTACAGAGTCTGGTAGTGGCCAGCCTCGAGCTGTCATAGTACAGGAGACAGTTCCAGCAGCTTCAGTCAGTGTAAGTGAAGCATTAGCTTCAGTCACTGGTAAAGTCACTGGAACCACTGCTGTATTCGTCTCAGGGACTAACTACGTGTTGCCTATGAACCTGATGAAGGGAACCCAGCAGTTTCACATTGTCTCTGGGGGCTCCAAATTGCTGACTGTTCCTGGTGTGAGGACAGCTGGCACCACTGGGGTCTCCAATGCTCTTGTTCTCCAGTCTTTTCTTAATCAAGCCAGCAAGATTATCTCTCAGCCTGGACAGGTGAAGCAGGTAAAGATGCCAACATTGCAGACGTTAACTACTTCTCAAGCATTGAATACTCAGAGTGGACAGAATACTTCAGTCATTATACCTCAGACTGGCACCAGTGGCTTTACGAACGACTCTAATGAAATTACCATTAAAACTGAAGCCCCTGAAATTGTTCCAAAAAGTGAATCAACGACTCCTGTCAGTGAATCCACATCCACGATTTTAGTCAACAAATCCCCCTCGATTGGATTAATTCAACGAAATTTGTCGGATATAACTGACGGTCAACAGATATGTGGAGTTATCACCAGTAATCCTAATTTGACTCTACAAGGGACGAGGATATTCAACTCGTCGATTGCTAAATTGTCGAGTGGACTAAAGACTGAGAGTGTTGTCTGCCTGGCGCAGGCATCGGGAACATCTCAACAATCTGAGAAAAAATTACAGGAGACAACTGGAGATAAATCGGTTCAGATGCATGGGACGATAGCTCTTGCCTTTGCAACACAGTCAGAAGTCCCAGTGATGAATAATAATCAGAGTCAACAGGTGAACCAGAAAGAGACGAAGGAAGTTTCTACTGAGATAGCGTCTGGGGACAAAGTGATATCACCAAAGTCAGTGAAGAGAAAAATCGAGGAGACGTTGGATATCGATGAGAAACCACCACCTACGCTTATCCCTGGAAATTCAATCTCTTCTGGGCTCATCACGACTCTTCAGAGTTCTATCAAAGTCGAGCCAGCATCAGTGACAACATCAGTCGCAAAAATTGAAGACTCAGGGGAATATTCAGTCGCTGAAGAGGCTGGCAGATCAGAAGACCAGCAGTCTCCATTGAGACAGACAAACGAGACGCTGGAGACGACGATAAAAGTGGAGAATGGAGTTTTGTGTGGAAATGCAAGGCTCCAGGAGGCCTGGGAGCCTGAGAGGAAACCCTCCCCAGACACTCCCTGGAGGTTTGTCCCCACCTCGACGAATCAACTCAACATTGAGCCATTGAAGGTCTACTCTAGAGACGGAGAAAACTCAGAGAACGTTCAGAATGTCCTCCAGATCATAAACAAGGGTCAGGGCATCGAGATGGCGAGTGGCCAGGTATTCCAGACGAATGCCAAAAAGTACTACATGAACCACACGCTGGAGCCCTTCCAGCAGTACGCCAAAGGAACAATAGTGAAGAATCAGTCGAATAATCCTAGGGTTGACAGGGAGATGCAGAGACTTGACAGAAATCGTGCGGCACTGGAGCGTGAGTTGAGACTCCAGAAGAGTCTATCAGAGGAGTGTGAGGATCTGGGTGTGGACGAGCCCAGCACGAGTGACTTGTTCCCAGAGGCTGATCTCTTCTTTGACACTAATCACTCTCCCTCATTCGATCACTCCTCCCAGGACGCCTCTTGCTCTCAACCCCTTGGTGTCAAGTTCAATGCGACGTACTTTCGACCTCTAGACTCCTCCAGTGGTAGTAGGGACGCAAGTCCTGTGGATGTCAAAGTGAACGAGAGACGAAAAACACCTGGACAACGGGGAAGGGCCATCAGAGAGGCTCTCAAGAGAACAAAAAGAGATAGACCCGAGGAGAATTCTTTGGAGAACCCAGCCAAACACATGAGGCTGAGTCCAGAGAACTTGAGCCAAGACGATGGATCCAGCACGTCAGACGTCTCCAGGATGTCACCAGGGCATGCAGCCTCTATGGAGAACGTTAATCAACAGAAAATCATATCGAGGAATGGCTCGAAGGAGGGCTCGCCCAGCAGTGCCTCCATGTCAATCCCCTCGAACATGAAATTGGACATGGATTTGGATTCTGAGTCCCTTCCCCTCACCACCAACAATGCAACAGCCAGCTCTGGAGAGGAGTCTTTACCTCTGCTGTCCACCAACACAACTGACGTCACGATACCCTCTCCATTGTCACCAATAGCTGGTCCTCTGTTGTCGACGCACAAGTACACGTATGCCAACAAAAAACGTGCAAAGTCTAAGGTGCTCACTGCTGAATATCTGTCCTGGGAGAGTCCAATATCCGAGAGAACGAGATCCAGCAGTGACGACGAGGACTCGAGCATCAGTGAGTCAATATCCAGTCAGAATGATGACAGTGTCATCACTAATGGCATGGATGACAATCTCCAGGGGGTGAAGACCGATCACTGCACGTACTTGAAGAAGGATAAACTTGTCAATGCTAGGGTTGTTCTTAATCGTGCTGACACTAAAGCCATTCTTGCCAAGAGGGCTAAGGAGGTAATCAATGAGGCTGTTGTCACCAGTGATAAAACATCAGAGGCTTCGGACGATGATACCTGTCATGCAACACTCATTGAACCCGATTGTCGTGCCAGGAGGTCTAGTCTCAGGGGACACGTGAAGAAGGGCTGCCCCTGCTGCAATGGATCGCCGGAGAGACCGAAGAAAAAGTCTGTCAAAGTTGATCACAAGTTGAAGAAGAAATTGATCAGCAAACAAATTGGAAAGAAGAGGTAGTGTTAGTGATTGTACTCTCGCTTTCGTAATTTACGATTTAATTGATTGGTTGAATGAGTGTATTGTACTTGTAAATTTTTGCGAGGGGGAGATACTTTCGACGGGTTTAACGACCAGACAATTAATTGTAGGTGATAAGTTTAGTACTTGCAGCACTTGACCAAAAAGTTATTGAGATGTTGGATGGGTTTATCAGTGAGTAAATGATGTGTGGAAAATTTTTCCGAGTGGATTTGTTTCTTTGGTAGAGCGAGAGGTGGTTGAGTAATTTTGCTCTTTGAATCCGAATTTTTCATGGGTTTATGATAATTTGTATATAAATAGTATGCTTGATCAGTGTATAGCTGGCTTGAAAAAGCTAATTATTGAGATAAGGGTTATATTTAAATGAGGGAGAGGGGGAGAGAAACATTTTTAGATAATGCTCTTCATTAATTATTATTGATTAAGATTAAATTTATTGGATTTAGGGGGAGAGTTTTATGCTCTTCATGATGTAGATGATCGTTTTACGTTTAGGTGTTGTTATAATGATACAATGATTCTAGATGTAGTCTTGAGTCGATTATGAGTGGCAAGTTTAGATTAATGAGGGAGTTGTGAATTTAATTGAACAATTAGAAAATGAAATGCAATTCTAGTCAGGTGAGGCTCGGGTCGAAGTTATAATTAATGAACTTGTGAACATAAACTTATTGATAGATTATTAATATCGGTTTATGAACAGTATCTTTTGGAGGAGGAGAGGTACACTTTTTTTTTCTTAGGTTTATTTTCCTTCTTTTCTTATTATTTTTTATGATTTTGTTTGGCTTTTGTTAAATGCCAGATTGCACAGCATGGAGGAGATCACCTCGGGCCAACCGCAGACTAAAAAATTTTATTTTAAATTGGTAATCCCTTTGGTCGATTAGGATTCAAAAGGAATTTACGACATTTGGGGATTAAGAATTTTTTGGATTTCTAACTCTGAGCTATATTACGCACTCTCTCGCCTCTAGATTATCGTAAATTTATGAAATGTGAAGAATTATTTGCGTTGGCATATTTCGATCGATCGTTCAATTATTATTTACTCATCTCTGGTGATTAATCATTCAGCAGTCAAGTGGTCAAACGTAAGAGATTGAATACAAATTAATTATTGACGTCTTGTTAAACATGGCATCATCTCGGTAATTGAGAATTTTAAGGGAAAATATCAAAATATATTTTCTTGCAAATTTTATCAGATGCACAAAAAATACTTTGACCTTTTCTTCTCACGTCTCTTGTGTTCAAGGTGAAACCATAATTAACAGACGTTAAAATCCTATCACGTTTTCCCACTCTTCTTCAGTATTTTTTTCATTTTTTATATCTCAATGGAAATCACTTGACCCGAATTTATCATCAATCTGTCACAGTGCGCGTGTAAATCCATTCTGTACATTCGAGTAGTTTTCTATAGGAAAAGCAGAACTCATGGAAAAAATAAAAAATAAAAGTATATATATCGTATAATATCGCTGCACTTTAGTACAAAACTGCTTCGTTTTATTTCTGAATAAATCTTGACAGAATTGAACGAATGAATCCATTCGTTTTTGATGCATTGCATTTTTTGTAAAGAATAAATTTCTGGGTAATTGTACAATGAAGTCTGTGTTGATGGTTGTTCTCTCTTCTATCGATAATTGATGAAATCTGTAGTGAAGTTGTAAAATGTGATTTATCTCAGGAACAATTTCTTTTTGAGGAAAGAATGGAAGAAGACCTTTCTTGTTTCTGATGAGATTTTCAAAAAAAAAATGTCTTCTGACATTTTCTCCTGAAATTGTTCATTATCGAGATAATTTCGTAAGAAAAACAGGAAAAAATCAATTCATCACGTTTTATCACTTCATTACTGAAACGAAAATGATAAGAAGAGGTGGTGAGACCTCTACACTAAATTCTCAGAAATGAATGAAGATTTCTATCAATCGTAAATGATTTGTTACTTACAATTAGTAAATGAGTACATTTTGATGAGAGAATTTAAACGATAAATAGAGAAAAAAAAACTGTAGATACGCGATTTTGTGTTGACGTATTTTTCCCCCATTTCCCTTAATTTTTTTTATTTCATTTATTTAGGATTAGAAAAATGTTTGTAACGACTGTGAAGTAGAATATACTGAATAATTATGTGTACTTTAATTGTTTATTTCATTTTTAAACTGATCTCATTATAAATGAAAAAACCTTAGTTCAATAAACTTTAGTATTTATAATACGACTATTGTTTATCGGTTCATTTTTGATTTTCTTCGAGTGCAATTACCTTTGAGATTAGTAAGTTATTCATTTTTCATCAGCTCTTAGGCATTTGGCAACTATCATTGTTCTTCATTTTTCCATGATTATTATTATATTGGTCATGAGTAATTGCAGACTAAAATCATCTAGGTATACTTTTGTGGAGATTTTTATTCTCCGCAAAGAATATCTCTTTACATTTTTTCTCAAAACTCATCACCGACCTGACCCTCTTATTATAAAAAATTGGAAATTTTTATTCTGTATTATTATGGAACTATCATCATGAAAAAATTGACTGAGGACATTTTTTCGGAAATTTTTCACATCTATGAAGAATCTCTCTCGACATTTCCCCCTTAAACCCTTGGTTTAAAATCTTAAACTCGACTTATCAAATTTATCTAAATTAAATTATCAATTGAATTCTGTTTGCTAACTGTGCCCTTAAATTGAACAAGACAAAAACCTAAATACGATCTTCTATCTTCCTGTACATTTAATAGTTAGCAACAATGTTTTACGTGTAAAAAAAAATCACGAGCGGAATATTCTTTTCGCCCGAAATAATAAATTCGTATTTTTCAATAATTAAAAATTTCTTTCGTAAAATAAAGTAAGTCAAAGGAAAATTGTCAAATTGGTGACAAGCTTTTGGACAAAGAAAATCCTCCATTTAGTCGTACCAAATGCATTTAATTAGATAACTAAAAAACCGACATAAAATAACACGATTAACTAGTGAATAAGTGGAATGATTGAATGATAAATTTAGCAAACGAAGAAGAAAAATAAATTTAAAAAACGAGTTTTCCAGTGCTAACTCCAGGTACTTAAGCAGCTTAAAGGGCCGTTAAGAATAAACTTAAGAGGTTTTGTAATGTACATTTATAAGAGTTTAACTGAAATAAACGAGATAACGTGCACTTTAGCACCTTCGAACAGTATTCAGAGCGGTTGTATTTGCATTCATGACTGATTTAATCAGTGATTAAGTTCAATAAAACAAATTAATAACAAATGGACAGTGAAATAAACGAATAAAATGAATTTACTGGGTTGACAACAATTACCCGAAGCATACGGATACCTTCAGACATTTTTAAATTAGCACAAAAACAAATGAAAAGAAAAAACGAGACGAAAAACTGAAGAGAAATGCAGAAAATAATAAGAGATAAAACGGAATGGTAGTGGTAGGAGCATTAATTGCTTCGTAATCCTCTCCTGCTGTTCTGTAAATACTTAGTATTAGTGCCAGGATAGTTTTAATCGCTCTGTAATTATAAAAGAAAAATCGAGAAGAATTGGAGGAGAGAAAATGGGAGATCAAGAGATGAGTAACTATTAATGCAGATGATTGTATTGATAACAACCCGCCGTTTTTAGAAGAGAAAAAGAAAACCATTGTCATACTCTTATCAACTAGTAATACAGATTGGTATCAGTGAATGCATTCTTATCAATTTTATTATCATTACCAGTGATTGAACAGAGTGATAAACTGATTAATGGATTTATTTACTGATCACACTCGTGTATTTATATAAATAATATATATAAACAATTATGTGTGAGTGAGTGCTGTGGGAGATAATGGGAATGAACAATGCACAAATGGTGAAGTATAATACCGAATGGTACCAAAATCAATAATTTAATTTTTAAAAAAGAGGAATCAGACGGCTTTAATAAATAAAAAATAAAGTTAAAAGTAAACGAGCGCATAACTTGTTTAATTTACAGCTTTAACACTAGCTGAAACACTTTGGCTGGAATAATCTGATGGAGAATAATGAATGAATCAATTGAATACTCCGACGATATGACTGTACAGCTATGATGGAAGAATTAATTGAAGAAAATAATGAATACGTGTCAGGAAAATAAAAAAACATATATCGTGAAAATCCTTTTTCAGATTTAAAATGTGGAAGTATTGGGGATTGCATATTGTACATAAACAAGACATATTTTCTATAATAAGGCACGTCGCTCGGTAAGATTGACGGTCTGACAAAAAAAGATATTGCAATATTACGATAATTCTTTCAAGAAAAACAAATTTTAAAATGAAAAAACAACTTAGGATAGTGTTCCATCAGTTTATGTAATGTATCAATAGAAGAAGGTCTGACAGAATATAAATGAAAGTTCTGTATTTAAGTGGTGAGATTTTTGATTGATGAGAACCTTCCCTTTTTTTCTTTCTTTTGGGAATTTTTGATTGATTGAGGGGGAAGGAAAATTTTGAAATTTTACATTTTGTTCAGTCGAAAAATAGTTTTTTTTATTATTTTCACAAGTTGATACATTATTATTTGAGATTCTTGGTTACTCTAAGCGTTGATTCTCAACTTCCTGAAAGAAAAAAAGAAATTTCTAGATTAAATTAGACAGGACTTCAATTTGGGGAAAATGTGAGAATCGACTCGATATATCACTCCACTATTGATAGAATCTTCTTTCGTAATTGTGAAAATATTTGAAGAACAAAATCTGTTAGGCAAAAATATCGTGAGATTTTTTTGATAGACGAAATTCTCAACAAAAAATATCTTTTGACATTTTCTCCTGAAATAACTCATTATTGAGATCACTTTATTCTTAAGAAGACGGGAAAATGATATTGTTTTGTTCTCTGGGGATGATTACCCTTCGTATTATGTCCATCATCGAGTCATTTCCAGTTCTAAAGAATTCGTTGATCTCCTGCGGCACACAGAAGTGATGACTGGTGTTTGGCTGAATCCCCATCTCCTCAGCTATGAATCTAAATTCTGGAGGCTCTGTGATTGACTCATGGAGTTCAGAATACGTGAAGAGAGTTCCCTTCGTTGATGTTTCATCCAGCGGTCCGAAGTCCACAATTTTTACTTTGTCTTTCTTTATTCTAATCACGTCGAATGTATCTGCAAAGCCAATGAATCACGAGTGAACCACAAAATTCCTCTTGATTCATCTCAAACCTTTCCGCTACTTACAATTACCAAGCTTAAATTTATCTTTTATCTTCTCGTTGAATAAACTCGTAATATCCCTTTGTATATTGTATTTATCCGTCTCTATATAAGGATGGAATTGTGAAGAATCTCTTTGGCAAATTCCTGCAATGGAAAATACGAAAATGAAGCATCGAAGTGGAAACACTTGGAAACCGATTACTTACGGACGTCCAAGTACTTTGGGCATTTTTTTCCTTAAAAAATTCTCTTCTTAATTTGTAGTTTATACTAAGAAAAAAGTTTTTTGATGAGTACGTCTGCACTTGTATCAGAAACTTATGGGTCGAAAATTGATAAGAGGAAAATATTTTACTGTCCGCAAACACTTTGAAAATATGAAAAAATCGAAAGTCTACATTTAGGGGGCGATTTATGAAACAAATGAAACATTGCCATTTTTGAAAATGACACCATTTTTTCATAAAGTCTTTATAAACGATGAATTTCCCATTCTAAAAACGACTTCTTCGAAATCGTAAAAGATTTCTCCCTATCCTGAATTTCATTACAAATTGATTTTATGCGATAAATAAACAAGCTCTGCAAAATTTGAACAATTTCAATCATTTATTTGTAAGAAGGGGATGTTGAAAAAAATTGTCATTTGTTGAAAGAAATAATTAGAATGGTGCTAAATACCCATGTTTTTTTTCAAATTTCTCTCATGTAATTTAATCGACGAATTTGATGATGAAAAATCTTTGAATGTTTATTGCGGTCCCTACCAAATTGTAGTAAGTACTCGGATATCCTTAATGTCTTATTGAGGTTTCAAGTACCCATTAACTGTCTATTGACGACAAAACATCGGAATTCTGAGCTAGGATTGATATCCCTCCACCGTTTTAACACTAAACAAGACTTTAATCCTTCAGAATCACAGGAGAGTTGCCTAACAGCGTTGATATCTCCAGAAATTCTATCAGAACTCTTTAGGAGTAAATAGACTTCTTCCAATGATGTGCATTTCAGAGTTTTTGTTGGGGCTACCCATGTTGCATCCTAGAAGGTGGAAATACACATGAAGGTAACATTTGTAATCGAAAAATCAATCTTTTAGTAAAATTTGATTGATTGATTGCTTCAAGACTTTTGTCTATGCTCTAGACTTTACGTAGCTAGTGTGATTAGTGGCCCGGCGGTCCAATTTTTTTCGTGTTGAAATCGACATGTGGACGATAAATGCCAGAAAATTCTAAAATATTTGGAATTATTGTTGTGATAGATTGATAACTTCCGAATACGGAGAATTTTTTGTAAAATTACGTACTACATAGTTACTGCGATATTCAGCTCTAAAAAATGGAAATTTCGTGAAGCATTCTTTACTTGATTGAAAAAATTAATTAACAAGTAATTTCTTATTTTTATTCAAACAGTTATGGTTGCCTGCATCAACAAAACATGAGAATAGAACAACTCAATAACTTATGAGAATGCAATAAATTAAGTTAGACGAGGGTGGGGCAATATGGACATCTGGGGTAAAATAGACATTCACAAAATTTGCGGTCAAAATTTTTTTTTAAATCCAAATTTTTGAAAATTGTTTCATTGGGCAATTGGAGACCTGATAAACCCGTATAGGGCGGATTAAAATGGATGCTCAGAAAATTTTCAAAAAATCTTCAACAATTAAATTTAACAAAATTGCTTCTTGGCAAAGTCCACAACCGAAAAATTATTCAAGTGGGGTAAAATGGCCACCCGAAAAAGCTGGTCCTATTCAACTTTTAATCAAGAAAATTTTCCACACACAATTTCCAACAGAATCGGGTATCTTTTTATGGAGAGAAATTAGAGTTGGAAGAGATATTAACAAATAAACTTCAATTCTATTCAATTTTGCACTGAAGTTTAAAATATAAAGTAGGATTATCTGTTTTGGATTTTTTGGATTTTCTGTTTTACTATTCATATAAGTTTGAAATTATTTATTTTTGTCAATGAACAATTGCGCGCTCTACCCAACTTACTTTTTGTCCACTAGTGACAAAACGGGTTTCTATAGGTTTGATCCTATACGACCCACTGTCACACGTATAGAAACATTTCGTATGGAGTTGTGACACTTCTCTACATTTTTCGCTAAAGCGTCTAGACACATTTCGTATGAAAACAAAAGTTTATGTAAAAATTTCTGTCTAGAAATAATTCGTATAGAAAATATTCACATAGAAATATCCGAATATCATATACGGAAATCCTATGGAATTTCTATACGCAATCCGTATAGAAAATTTCTTTACGATTTTTTCATCCGTGGATTTTTGAACTTTTTCTCTAGAACCCTAGGCTCCAAAAACCTTCATGAAAAACTTTGAAAATTGCGTCACTTACCAGAGGAGTTCTCCAGTTAGTCTTCACAAACACCGCTCCAAACTCGTCAATGACCTCCTGAATCTGCTTACTGAACTCCGGGAAGGACGGTTGAAACTCAGCCTCCTTTAAACCCCCAATTTCAATTATAAAACCCTCAAAACCTCAAAACCCTCGCACTCCCCTCAAAAAGAACTCTCACCTCCCCGGAATCCTCAACCGCGGATCCATCAGTCCACTCTCCACTCGCCACGCGTTTCCCCACTGCCTCAGAAGGCAAAACAAAAGCATCATGCTCAAGGTACTTTGAAACCTCCTCAGGAATGACCAAAACCCTCGATTCTATCGAAACCTTCGCGAAATTCGGGTACCACGTGCAAATGGAGCACTCAGGCTTCAAACTATTCACCATTTCGCCTCTAAAAATCCTTCAACACTCAACAAAAACCCCACGACAACTCCAATCACACAACTGCACCTCAAAAAATCGAATGAAACGTCAAAAATGTTTAAAAAATCACCCACGAACTCCAAAACGACCGGAAAAAGCCCTGATAACTGCATGGATAATTGACACCTGTTTTATCTAAACATTTTTTATCAATTTCAGTTGAGTTCACAATCCAAAGATGGCGACAGTCATTAATTCAGCGCCATGATACATCCCCCAGTCGGCCATCTTGGCTCTTTAGCATCACAATGGCCGATAGCAGTGACTCCTGCCTCCCGTGTCCCGTGGGTTAACCGTACTTCAGCCGTGTTGTGGTCACGGAAAACAATAATTATTATCTCACTAATAAAAGCCCCCAACGCTAACAATAAATTTGTAACATAACAACAAATCAGGAAAGAAACTGTGCCTTTTTTCCACCGCCAATTCGACAACCATAAACAACCGTGTTCCAAGCAAAGTGAGTTTTTTTTTTTCATTTTCCCACGAGAGAAAAAAAATTCCCTCACATTTTTGTGTACTCTATCAATTTCTGTTATCCTTTTCACTGTTTTTATCGAGTTTCAAGCGTCCGGTTATACATTCCACAGTTGTGGGTGATTTTTGCGAGATTTTATTCGTCATTTCAGTGGAAAAAATGATCGGGAAAATTGTGCCTGTGGTTTTGAAGGTTTTGTGAGTGCGGGGGATCATTCAACTCGTCTCGTTGGAGCTATAAATCAGTGAGGCTCGAGAGAAGGCGTGCGCCTCGAAGTCACGGTTTAATGTGTCTTCCATGAAATGGGAATTGATTTTTTTAGGGGATTTGATGAAATCACCTGGCGTATTAATTAACAATTGTAAATTTTGGGGGAAATGATTAATGCGGTTTTTTTTTTCACCGTTTCGTCGAGCTTGAGTGATGCTGTACGCTTGCTTGACGCAGAGGTCGCTTGGTCTTCTCCCAGAGACTCAATTTCAATTTTAACAATAATTCCATTTGCTAATTAATGGTGAATGGTAATGAGGGGAGAAGTTGTTAACGAGTTGAGAGAACATACGAGTACAGATGTGCAAAGATCATGAAACACTTTGGGAATACTTCGAATGAGTAATCCGGTAGTTTTATTTTTAGATTGACTGGTGAGTGAGGGATATGAAAATTAATACTGATCTGTGATTTGACTGCGTGTCAAAAAAAAAACACAATGGAAAATTATGTGAAGGGTTTGCACGTGCCGGAAAACATCGACGAAAAAACATGACGTGAAAACACATCAGGGAGATGAGAAAATGGAAAGAAGAATAGAGTTGAGAAAAAATGAGTGGAGTACAGGAATATGAAAGGATGTTAACTCTTTTAATTGTGGAATCATCTGGAGAATGAGGAATTTTAGGGGAAATGTTGACGCATCCTGTTTATAGCTGAGGATATTTGCAGTTAAAAATGTGTCTAAACATTTTTCTCTAAAATTACTCATTCATGAGATGTTTGTATAATTACAATTCAAGTATTCGAGAATCAATACTCTTTTTATTACTGCATTATCTGGGGAATGAGGGGCTGCAGGAGGATATGTTGAGAGATTTTTTGCAGCTCAGGCAAGAAATAAAAAAAAGTCTTGATTACGTCCGAGAGTCACTCATTACAGAGATAATTGCATAATTACGACTCAAATAATTGAAAATCCGATGTATGTTGATTTCGTAATTATCTGAGCAAAATGTCAGATGTTTGTTTAAATAATGAAATTGTTAAAGAAATGCCTCTTGATATTTTCTCTGATCTGTTTTGTTTACTCATGAATTTCATCTCTAAGAGATAATTAGTTATTAGAGTTTCTCAATATTCTAAAATATTTGGCAATGATTTGTTTGAAAACAATGACAAACGCTGCAGTCGACATGTTTTTGTTATTGTAATTGTTGTATCATTTTGACACACCGCCAGTAATTCTCATTTTCTATTCTTGTTCGCAGGACGAAAAGCCCCATGTAATGCTCAACCTGTGATGACAAATGAACTAAGTCAAAGCGGAATAACACAACTACTAACATAACTGATTTTATAAGGAAGTAATACAAAAAATAGATAGCAGGGTGCTTGGGCTTGGTTGAAATTAATCAAACAAGAACAATCAGCAGTATAAATAAACACAGAAGCACTGCACAATTTTACAATCAAACTGTACCGAGAGAGACATTTTTAGATGGTACATTTTGCCATTTGAAACGCATTTTAATACATAGCCTTATTGCTCTTTTACACATAATCATTAAAGATAAGTGGAAGTTGCTCAGTCGATTAATCACCAGAAATACAGTTGTCTAAGGTTTAAAATAATAAGAATCAGGAGAAAATTGGAGAGAATACGATAGCATGTTGAAAATTTTTCGAGAGGTCATTGAACTCACCAGTGATAAGGATCAATATTTTCACAATTGAAACAATTGACAGTGATCTTCGTCTGAATCAATAATAAGTGATAGAATGATGGAGAAGCTGCTCTGTTCATTCACAAGCAATGAATAATTACAAAAACATTGTAATAAAATGTTTGAAACATGTTGACAAGACGGTGATCATAAATGACCAGTAAAGGCATACGTAGGATCATCATTCCGAGACGAAAGTCATCTTCGATCCATCCAGGATATCAGAAAGATTTCTTATCCTGATAATTAATCAATACATCACTGAGGGAAAGTAGTGATTGATTGTTATTCAATCAGAAGGAAGAAGTTTGTACCTGGTGAGTTATGATAATTGATATTTAAGGCCATCACGCCAAATTGTGATGAGAATATTTGAAAATATCAATTGCACGAATTTCATCTTATACTGTCAAAAATTTTCCACTGAAATTTCAAGGAATTTTGTCATTGAAAATTCATGATTTCATGGAAAAATCTGAGGGAACTGTCAATTTCAGTTTAATTATTTCGGTGAAATTAATGAAAAATCAGAAAATTTCAGAGAAATCACCGATTGAATTCTCGATTCCTCTGAATTTTCAGGGAATTCCTTCAAAAACTACTGGAATTTCCCGAAAATTCAAGGGAATTCAGCAGTGAATATCCATTTTCACTTGAAAATTTATGTAAATTGTAGAATTTCTCTCTTCCTGCCGCGCAAAAAATAGCATTTTCCTTGAATTTTTAGGAAAACGTGAAATTCCATTGACTTAATTTTCCCCTTAAATTAAATTCAAGATCTTTTTCCGGAAAATTCAGCCAAATTTTTTGAACAATGTAATAAACAGGTCAATTTTTGGACGGGGTTTAGTTCCTGGATGATTTCAACTGGCATTAAATATTCCAGAAATAGAATAAAAATTGTACTGATTGTTTTACCATTCACTAATATTACACGTGTATAATCATGTGATCAATTATTTTTTCTACTGATCAACATTTCATAAATGAAAAAAAAATATGGCTCTGTCGTCCAGAAATTAGGGGTTTCGGCTGCCTTCAACTATTTCTTAATTTAATTATTCTTTCATTTTTCATAAAGATTAGGAAATAAGTCCAACAGAGAGGAAATTGTAAATGGATAATTTATCATGGCAACTAACGATCTGACGGACATTGGCAACTGACAAATGCCGATTGAACAGTCATTTATCTAATGTAAATTATTAATTTGCAATTTCCTCCCTACCGGGTTCATTTTTCAATATTATTCAAAAACGCTCTTTGCAAATGTTCATTTTTTTTCAACGGTTTTTTGATTGTACAATCATAATTTTTTAAGACTCCCGGGCTATGTAAAACTGAATGGCAATTAAAAAACATTTCAGACTATCAAAATAACAAAAAACAACCCAGATCACGTTCGAAAGATACACCACGCGGGCCTTAAATTTTAAATATATTAAAAACCTGGTAATTTGAATTGATAAATTATTTTACTCGGGGAGTGGAGTGTAATAGACGAACAGCCTCAATTAGTAACTGTGCAATTATCGTTGGAATGGGGTGTTTTAGGGTAAAAAATTGAGGCATTTTTTTTACAACTGAAAATTTTTCGAAAAAAAATCTCGAGTGATCTCTGTTAAAATCGGTCATTACCGCTATAATTGCATAATCATGAGAATGTAATTGTTTTTGAATCGGCAATTAATTATGCAGTCAGCTTGATAACGACTGATTTGATGAGAAAATGTCAGGAGACGTTTTTATAACTGAGAAAATTTGTAACCACTATTGTTTGCTTTGATTTTTGTAGAGTCACGTATCCTCAAATGATTGCAATTTTTTTATGGTGAAATAAACATTAGTTATCGTGCAATTATCCCATAAATTGAGAGTTTCAAATATTTGTTTCACTCATTTTCCATAAAATCTTCAATTACACAGATAATTAGATAATCATGGAGACGTAAAAAGTTGTCTGAACTCATTGCTAAGCGAGGATTCATCTCGGCGAAAAATTATGTCACAAGTAAATGTCAAACGATCTCTTTAACTGAAGAAATGACAAATAAAAAGTGTCTTCTGATTATTTCATATTATCACTCACGATAAAAAAATTTCCAGTATTAATAAAACTTATTAAATCGATTTGATAATGAAACGATCATTATTAAAGTAGGGAAAATGTCGAGAGATGTTCTGTAACTGGAGAAATATCTCGGTGATTCCTCTCAAAATCGTTTATCAGTTAAATATTCACATAATTATGCAAATTTAATGGTTTTTTGAACCACTCCTTAATTATGCATTCACATCAATAATGCCCGATGTTACGAGAAAATGTCAGGAGCCATTTTTTTTTCAGTTGAGAAAATGCCGTGCAAAAAGGTCTCTGACACTCTGGCATGATCTGACTCATCCTCTAGATAATTCAATTTTTTGTGACATCGTTACGACTGAATTTTATATCTTTCAATTATGAATGTATCTCGGTAACGGCTATATTCACGAGAACATGTTAGGGTACATTTCATCATGACATCACTCAGTCTCTAGTTAATTTAATTTCATGGATAGAAGATTTGTGGGAAAATTAATTGTTTTTTACGTTTTTACAGTGGCTAGAGGTACATAAGAGGAAGTCCTAATGCTGAAAGGAAACATATCGTCTCATCTGGACACACATACAGAAGAGGAATCATCGTATGTTACTCTCAGCAATGGACCT